GGTTTTGCCCAAAGTTGATTTTTATGTCCGTTTTTACTCTAACATTTTCCAAAAAATGTTCGGTTTTACCCTTTTACCGGTGATAACAGGTTACCATTATATTAACTTCGCAAAAAAACCCTTAAGTTTATAGTTTTTTACGTTTTTACCCTTAAGTTAATTTTTTTTACACTTTTACCGTTTGTATTTTCTTTTTCATATTAAATGTATTCATGCAGAAAAATAATATTTATATACGAAAAAAAATTTAATTAAATATTGTATTTACAATTTTTTAATGTTATTTCTTCATATATATATATATATATATATATATATATATATATATATATATATATGTGTGTGTGGGTTTTTTTCTTGGATAAACCATTTAAGATGTAAAAAAAACACAAATTAATATGTTTTTAGAACTACAGGTACATATTTTTATGTATTTAAAAATATACATATCAATAAAAAAAACTTGTTGAATCATAAACATGTTTATATAAGTATATACATATATTTTTAGAAGTGTAAATATGTATTTTGATATATGTTTTTTTTAAGTATAAATATATTTTTAGAAGTATAGATACATATTAATATATAAAAATGTAAAAATATGTATTTATACTTCTAAAAACTATATCTATAAAACATGTATTCATAATTCTAAAAATATTATTTATCTTTTTAAATGGTATAACCTTGCAAACGCACACACACAACATATATATATATAAGTATATATATATATAACATTAAAAAAATATAAATACAATATTTAATTAATTATATTTTCGTATAAAAATACGATTTTTCTGCATGAATACGTGTTTGTGTAAAAAAATTATAAACTTAAGGGTAAAAACGCAAAAAAATTGGTAAACTTAAGGGTTTTTTTGTAAATTTAATGTAATGATAACCTGGAAAACCTGTTATCACCGATTAAAGGGTAAAACCGAACATTTTTTCGAAGTTTTAGGGTATAAACGGACATAAAATTCAACTTTGGGTAAAACCGACAAAACCCAGAAAACTTAAGGGTTTTTATGACATTAGCCCTATATATATATATATATATATATATATATATATATATATATATAATATAATATATATATATATATATATATATATATATAGGTTTTATCTATTGCAAGCTACCGCTTGTGTGTAAACCAAGACTATTTGTAAGGGTTATTATCATCGATATCATTTTTCAAACGATCCCGAGTTCAATCTCCTAGATTATCTTTACGATTATTTTATTTTATTATTATTATTATTTTTTAATGATTAGAAGGAGTGTAACATCTTTTAACACATTACCATATTAACATTTTTGAGACTTTTTCATGTCACCTAAACTTATCTTGTAAGAGGGATGTTATGATGCAACCATTTAATAGAGTTGATTTTAAAAGAAAAAAAAAAATTCAAGTAATCAGAAGACATTTTTTTCCCTTATATTTTGTCTATCTTCTCGCTAGAAGCTTGGCAAGCATCTTTGGCGAGAGCCCTTAACGCAAGCTAGGAGCGTTGTTTGCGTGTCTTGGCGAGGCTGACGACCCCTACTCCCCATACCATAATAACTCTATTACCAATCATTTGCAATTTTTTATCATCATTCATCAATTGGTCTCTCACTAATATATATTTTTAAATTGGTCTCACTAACATATAGCTATTAATTATTTGTAATTTTTTATCATCAATTTAACAAATACATAATTTCAATCACTGATTTTAGTTATTTTGTGGTCATAATTCATACCATATTATATACGAACTAAGGTTTGCACATGCATATTATATATTAGTTTTAAAAAACTCAATGCAATATATATATATATATATATATATATATATATATATATATATATATATATCCTTCCTAATAAATAAAGAACTTTTTGCCACATGTCCTCTTCTTATTCATTTGGATACATCACATTTTCTAGAATTTTTGAGTTTTCTATTTTTCATTTGTCATTTTATTGTATTTTTTATTTATTAAATTAAATTCCACATTTAATATGTAAGGTAATATATATGTAAAATATTTATTAGAAATGATTTAAATATGTAATGTATTCAATACATTAAAGCCTCATTAATTTTAATAATTCAAAATTTTTTCTCATTTTTCTTATAAATTCAAACTTTTCAAATTGTTATATTTAATTTTTTTTAAATAAACTTATGTAATACATGAGTCTCACACCTACTATACATATATCTTCCTAACTAATAAACGAAAGTAGATTGTCACGTGTCCCTTCAAAAACACTAATTTCATCCAATGTTAAATATCGTTTTTGCCCCTCTTTGATTTCACCTTCTATATTGCCAGGTCAAAATAAATCAGTATTTAATATCCGATTTTTATGGTATATGATATCTATTTAAATTTCAAAATAAAGCAGCATTTAATATCCGATTTTTATGGTATTTATGGTATATGATCTTTATTTAAATTTAATTTGATACGTTTGAAATAGATACCCGATTCAGTCCTCTAATTTTAAATAATCAATACAAAAAGTTTTAAACAAACTTAACTTTTATTAATAATATAAATGTTTTATAAATTTTTTACCCGTGGTTCCCACGGGTTGTAACCTAGTATATATATATATATATATATATATATATATATATATATATATATATATATATATATATATATATATATATATATATATATATATATATATATATCATGAAATAACAAACTAACGTAGAAGTATACAATTCTTTAAGAACATTCATACATAGATATATGTAAAACTAATAGCATCCATAATATATTGCATTTTATAGATTTCAATAATAGCCATATCATTTTGTTATATTTCATACAACTTCGTCAAAAATAATTTTATAATGTATTTAACTCTATAAAGTTTAATAGAAAATTACAAAAGTTAACTTATACCATATATTTAAGAATTAATTTTTTTTTCTGAGTACAATGGTCATTATACTCTAAATCCATTGAATGTCAAAGTGACATCTCACTGTGGTAGAGTTCAATCAATTGAATGACAAATAGACTTGTTAGGGAGGAGGGAGTCATTCCTTCCCAACCCACTCAACTCACTGCCACAGCAACGTCACATTAGTTTTTCTATATCCTTTCTCTTCCAACCCACAACACATGAAAACCCTATCTTTTTCAACCCACTCAATTTATTTGTCATATTACTTTTTTCATTTAATTAAATTAAAAAATATAAAATATAATAAAACATAACATTGTTTATCACAACATGCATCAAAATCAAAACCAATAAAATAAAACATAACATTATCTAGTTAAATAAGAAATGTCAATATATTCGTTTTCATTGTACAGATTTATATGAAAACAAAAAATAAATAAATAAATAAGAGCGCACGTTATCAACTCCACATGCATCAAAACAAAAAAAGTAGGAATAAATATTTTATGTTTATTCCTCTATTCAAATTCAATATGCAATTGAAACAAAATGGTCGGGTTGGTAAACCCGCTGAGTGGAGTAAATGTAAGAAGCCGCTCAAACCATTGCTGGCTAGGAACCATATCTCGGTGGTACCTCCCTTACCAAAACTTTAACCCTCATGGACGCCTTCCTCCCTTATCTTATTAAACTAATTCTTCCGTTTAACTCACAATTATGAATGCACTAAGTTATTTTGTGGAAATTGATCCAATAAGTTTTTAAAAAAATGTAGAAAAGATTAAAAATAAAGTAATATTAAAAATCTATCTTTTTAAAAACTTATAAAAGTATAGTTGTAAAAAGATTTGAGAAAAAAAATTAGATTAAGTACATAAAAATGTTTTTTTTAATTGACTGGTTAATGGTCAAAAAATGTAAAAAAGGGAAAGCACAAAGAACAAAGATACGAGCTCTCTACCCTGCTAAACTTCGATTTTGCGGTACCCCACTCCTTTTGAACCGTCACTATGGCGGTACCAGCAACGACCGTCTATGCCAAACCGCCTAAACTAAGACTCTATGCACTTTAAGGACTACAAATCGACAACTCCAACATTGGAATTAATAAGTCTACTCGGTATGGGTGGGTGTTATAACATCCAAAACTTGTCATCTCACATGTCAAACCAACACCATTATGTTATAACATGAAATGGAGGTGGTATTCTGATGTTATAACTAGGTTATGAGAGAGAGAGAGAGAGAGAGAGAGAGAGAGAGAATTTGATTGGTTGGAAAATGATGTTGTCTTTCATTGTCGTTACAATGCATTTTACCATACCATGAGGGTAGGACGGTGTTCTCCTTGTTATAACGAGGCTATGGGAATGCTATCTCACCATAACAGTCTAAAGAACACTCAAAATTATAAAAGCATAGATATTTCTAATAGCATGTGAGATGTATTTTATTTTGGTAATTGTACTAGTATAGAATGTGTTTTGAGATGCACTTTATTTTGGTAATTGTATTAGTATAGAATGTGTTTTTTTTATAAAGACGAAAAATCACCGAAACATTAGGCTATGACCTCTCATGATCAAACTTATTCTACCAGTACTGTAGCATAACGTCATGAATAAATTTCCAAATTATGTCATTAATTTATATATTTTTTAAATACACCTAATGTATATGTACGCATAGATTGGTGGGTAAATATGTGTTTATGGAAAACTCGTTTAATTGATGTAAAGGAAATTAAGTAATTCAACGATTTACATCTAAAAGACGAAAAACGATAGAAACATGAGATATATGGTATGATTCGATTTGAATTACTTGTTTACACTTTGTATTCCATTCGGATATTTTAAATTTATATAAAAGATGGGAGAATAAATAAAATAAATAATAAATCCATAAATATCTACAAGTCTACGTTCTTGGGAAAATGAACAACCGAGAATATGCGCCACGTGTCTGATCAAAGACCAACATGCTCTATTTGAGATTGTGCCACGTTTCTAATCAGACGGCTGTATATGGTTTTACGATAGCCGCCAACGATATCCACTTTCGTAGGTTTCATCTAAGATCATCGGTCCCTATCCGAGTTGACTCATGACACGCTGACTCGAGATCTGACTCGGTCACCGTCAAACAACTAGGTCCGACGCCTGACGACGGAGAAACCGCTGGCGATTTTCTACTCATACTGATTATCCTCTTCAAAGCCATTAATCTGCTTCCCGGAGATCTGAAACCCTGACTCGGCGACGGCAACCGAAACTCATTATCCGCCTGTAACTCGCTCCGACTTGGCACATCTATTCTGACGTCGATTCCCTTTCTCCGATCTGCCAACGACGGCGTTTCTGTATGATCCCCGATACGTTGAACCGGGGAGCTAAGTGAAGTGCTTGAACTGGGTTCGGCTACAGTCGCCGGTTGCTCAACCGACATCCTCATTTCCATATCAGCAGGCTCCACCGGCGATCGGCAAAGCGGGCAAGTTGAGTTACTATGAAACCACATGTCAATACACTCCGTGTGAAAGCTATGTCTACATTTTGGCAAAATCCGACCTTTTTCACCCTCTTCAAACTCCGACAAACACACGGCACATTCCGGCATATCTTTGTTAGTTTCCGACGAGTACACAAACAAAGGGAGTCCCTTCAACACAGATGCATCAAGCCCACCAGTTGGCATACCCACAGTGTTATTCGAGTCGACGTAGAAGACAACACGGGTGGAACGATTGCGGCGATTACTACGTCGGGTTTCGTTACGGCGGCGGAGGCGGAGGAGGTACCATCGTGCGTATAGGTGGAGAAGAACCAAGAAAACGACGACGACGAAGAGGACAATTATTGAAGAAAGCATGATTTTGCCACTGAGAGCGTAGTTTTTCGAGGAGTTTTCTTCTTCCCCATCAAGTCCCCATTGGTGCTTAACTGAAGAATCAACAGTAGGTCCTGTCGCAGACATGGAGGTAATTATCGGAGATATGTTTAGCGGTGGTTTAAAGGGGAAAGATATAAAAGGACAGAGATGAAAAGGGAGTGGGAAGGTGAGGGGATTTATGAGGAAGAAGAGGGAAACTTCGAGGTTGGTTCGTTGAGGATTTGTTGAAGCTGTTCAGGAAGCAGCTTTCGTTGAAAGAGATTCCGTGGGTAGACGCCATAGTTTGACGCGGGAACTCCAAAATGACGTATTTACCCTTCCACCTTTCTATATTTCTTTTCCTTTTTGATTTCTGTTTTAGCTTTTGCCTTTTGTAAAAATATCTTACGAATTGCTGAAGTTGATAAAGATGAGCATTTTATTTAATAGTTTGCTAACTTTATAAAAAATGATGAAAATGATTTTCAATTTGGAAATGTGGTCAAATGCTAAATTGTATTATAAGTTGCGCAATAGTTTTTATGATGAAAAACCGTTTTGGAAACGAATTAATGACTAATACTAGGTATATGTTTTTGACTTTTTTCTTGTACATAGTTAATCATTTTTAATCTTTTATCCGGATTATCAATTAAAATTATTTCAACTGTTCGAAAAAAGTAATTCTAATCGGTGATACCTACTTTAGCCGTTTTCCAATACTCTTCCAATGGATTAAGAACTTCATAGAGTAATTAATTATGTTGTGTGTGCATCTTTCACTTTCTTTTATAAGATTTACTACAAGTTTATAGAAAAAAAAAACACCATTTTGAACTTGATTTAGGTTTCTTAAAATATAGATCTTAATAGTTCAAATTTAATTAAAATTTGTTCTTAACCATTTGAATTACAATTTAAGATAGGTTTTAAAAGGTCACTTTTTGATAGTTACACATTCAAAAATTAGACAACTTCAACAATTAATCCAGTTCAAAATGCTACCATATTGTCACTTTAATCAAAAAGAAATATGCATAAATAGTTTGTTTATCGATTAAAATTTGTAAAAAAAAAAAACTATTTTGAGGGATGATTGAGTTTGGCAATGTCGTGATGGAATTCAGAATAAAAATTAGATTTTTTTTGGAAATTGAACTTCCCTAACGAGGGTTTCCGGGCCAGCTTTCGCGCACCGACTAATCCCCCGCTGCAAACATGAGGCTTTGCCTCATGCCCTGGAGTCACTGCAGGCGAACCTCCATGGCCACAAGGACTGAGTAGTGCCAGAATTTGAACATGTAGATTTTGATCCTAACTGATATAAAATTCAAAATAATAATTTAGATTTGATCTGAATTAATCTAAATAATCATATCGTCTCATTCAAATTGTCAAAATAAAATTCGTTTTATCCAATCATTCAAATATTTCACATCATGAATAATTTGGATTAAACTATTTGACCAACTTAATTGTCTATCAACAATTATTATTATGAATTTTAATTGAGAAACAAACTATTATCATTTATTTCTTTTATTATAGTTAGATTAAGATAACATGACAATTAACTCTATGATCTATTGTTAATGCTATTTATTTTTTTCAATGGCACTGATCCATTGGAATTTTAATTCGAATGGTTCATATCATATTTAAATGTAGCATAGACTATTTTAATTCGCATGTAGATAACCAAAATCAATCAAACATCCATCTCATGCTGGAACCATCATTTTAATGAAAATTTGTATAAAAAAAAACTCAACTGATCAAATGTCTATTTATAAAATCGTCGTAAACCTACTAAACCAATTATGAACTGTCAAAATGATGTTTTTGTTTAAATAATCGAAGTCATTTTAACCGTATCTATAAAATAGTGACCGAAATAGTCTTTTCAAAAAATTTGAAATTATAAACAAAATACATTTTCAAAAAAATCATTGATAATAAGTTTTATTATTTTTGAAATAGACCAAAGTTACGAACTTCCTTTGAATCATTGATAATAAGTTTTATTATTTTTGAAAAAGACCAAAGTTACGAACTTCCTTTGAATTTCAAAAGTACTTTTGGAAAATAGTCATTAACAATAGTTTTTGTTGCTATTCAAATACTCCTAATAATAATTGTATGTGAAGCATATCAATGGTATAAAGCATATATTTCAACATAATGTGATTCAATCAGTTATATCATTATCTACTATGAACAATTAAAAAAATGAATTAACTTGACTGATAAATCTGTTTTAATTTATCATAATAAATTAATCAAATAAAAAAAGTGTTTAATAACAAAGAATGGACAAAAAAAAAGCTTAACTAATTTGAGACAATTGTCTTAATTTGTCATTTTATTTTAGTTTATCAATAGATCTTTGTATTATATGGTTTATTTAAAATGAAAATTAAATATGAAATTCTAAATATTTGAGATGTTTGAATTTATAAGAAAATTGAAAAAAAAAATATATTGAATTATTAAATTTAAAAAGTTTTTTAATTTAAATAAATAGTTTAGATAAATAAATAGAAGAAACTAATAAGATTTTAATTTAGTAATTTTGAATTAAGAAGAAAAATTTATTAATGATATCCATATGCATTTATTATTATTTATTATATTTAAATAGTACGTGAAATTTAATAAAATAAAAAACCATAAAATAACATTTAAAAAAATAAATAAAAATAATAAAAAAAAACCACGTGACATGATGAATTAGAAAATGATAAGTAATAAAATTAATTTTTATTTATTAAGGATGATATAAATTTTATTATAACTTTTTATTGAGTGAAGCGGTAGGGGTACAAATGGAAATCCTCTAAAAAATTGGTCAATGATGCATTTACTTCCGTGTCCAATTGTCCACTATCTTGACTTGCGGGTCATAGCGTTACGGAGTGATTTTGTGTTTTTGTTCACTTGCTAAACCGAGTAAACAACTCTCTTATTAGTTATTTATTTATTTATTTTAAATTAAACTATATTGACATAAGTCAGATTAAAAAATAAGTTTAATTCTAAATATAATATAATAAAAAACATTAAAACTAAAACTAAAATAAAAAACATTAAAGATTAAAGAGGGCAAAACTCCAAAATAAAAAAATTTAGTGGTAAAAGTCAAAAACTCCAAAATAATATTAATCATAACAAATTTTTAATTAATATATAATAATAGGGTTATTAATAGGGTTATTGATTAAACTAACAACTAAAGAAAGTGACTAATAAAAATAAAATTACCAATTTGTCTACAACACAATATTCCAAAGTAATAACAATATTGACGTAAATTCAATATGAAATCTCACATGCAATAAAGTAGATTTATTATATTACGGTCAATTGATAAGATATGATATAAAGATATTCTCCCGTTCTTTTCATTGACATCAATTTTTTTAAGAAGTTTATGTTAACCCCTACGATCGAATATGTTTCGATTCATCGTCTAGTCGTTAAAATGGTAACGTATAATGGTCTTATATCATAAGTTACTTTGTTATTGGTAAGTTTTAAGTTTTCTCTATTAGACCTAAAAACAAACATCTGAGGCACCGTTGCAGAAGAGTTCTTTGTGTTCCGGCCCGATTCGTTGTATTCTGGACTGAAATATGTGTTTCATATTTGTTGTGTGTTAGCTTGGAAGACATATTTTTTCAGTATTGTATTCAAATTTAACATATATTTCGGGTTTTTTTTTATTGTGTTCAAAATGTTAAAAATACTCAAATCAAGAATAAATCTAAAAAATCACTGATTAATAGGAATGAATCCAGAACATTAGAGGTTGCTTTTTTCATTCCCCGTATATTTACACTTGGTTTTGGGTGCCTAATATGTGTAGGGATGCAAACTCAATCCCACATCGGTAAAAAGAGAAACTATATGCTAGTATATAAGGCAATGGGTAATCTCTTCTATTACAAATTGTTTTTAGAAAATGGAACCACATTGTCATTTTATGTGTGAGCGCGAGGTGAGTTTTCTTACTATGTCATAGTTTGTGTATGCTGACCAAATGGATCTTATTTGTTGTTGCTATTACGTGTTATTGAGCTTCTAATAGCTCCAGGGCATGCAGTTAGCCCATTGGGACTGCTGATAGTCCCCATGATTGCTGATAACTCATAGTTGTGTTGTATGTGATATTTTGAAGAACCCACTAAACTTTGTGCTTACAATTGTGGATTTAATGTGTTTCATGTATTCCAGATGATAGCAGGAAGGCGAAGACTTGACTATACACTATCTTCGACACCTTTTCATGATTCTGCATTTTGTGACACTCTGATTTTTGGGTGATTGCATTTTGATACTTATGATTTTCTTTCTTGGCTTTCCTGGAAACTATGTTTTATAAATTTAAAAATGAAAATTTTGGTTGTGATTTTATGATGTTACACTTTGAGTTGGTGACGATAGTGGTGCTTTTGGGATCAATGTAAAGATGAGATCGGGTTCATTCCACAAGGGGTTGCCTTGTGAGGTGGTGATTTTTGATGGTGAGGAGGATGATGGAACTAAGGAATTTGTTTCTTGCTTCTGAAATTTTGATTGCTTTTTCAGCCATCTAGCAGTTTTCTCAATTTCTAGATCGAAGACTAGAGTACATGTACATAAAGATCTGGGTATAAAAACTATTAGCAATACCGTGTACTCGGCAACAATACCACTTTCTTAAGCGTGTCGTTTTTTTGGACAACAAGAATAATTTATTTAAATGACAGCAACTAGCAAGAAGCTAGTTGAAAACAACATTACAAACGGTTTTTGGATCTAAGCACCAGAGATCCCAAGACACATTCCTACCCTATTTAGATCTATTTCTAATCCAATTATAAGAGAACATTTGGATCTCATTAAAAAGGACGTGTGTCGACTTCACCTAGCCATTATACAACTTGAAGTTTCTTGCCCGCCATAATACCCATATGAAAGTGAGTATAATCACAACCAACCCCTTTGCATCCTTGGTTTTTTGAGTTCTGCTCAGAGACTAGTCTTACCAAGTCCTCTAAAGTGTTCACCTGAGCCACTTTTTGATCCAACCATCTAAGTAACTGTAACATTGTTTCTTTACTAGTAGTACATTCAAGAAAGACATGTATTTCGGACTCCTCTTTGACGTTGCAGATAGGACACAAAGTCGAAGGTATATTAATACCTCTACGAATCAAATAAAGCCTTGTGGGCAACCGACCAACACTTGTCCTCCAAAACACCAAGTTTAACTTTCCAGGGACCAATCTATTCCAGTAAGTTCTTCTTTGTATTTGCCCCAAACTACAGATGTCTATAATTTTTTTCATTGAAGAGACTGAATACCCACCATGTTAAGCGTGTCGTTTACACTTAAAGAAATAAAAATCATTACCTAATTGCATTAAAAGATAGCACATGGTAGTAGAGTCGAATCCTCATGGACATAACCTAATAAGATACGTTAATCTCGATATCCTATATACACATATAACTTGTGCTCTACGTAAACATCCAAAGAATCCTACTCGATCTTGGATAAGTACCGGCCCTCCTACACCTCATCATGTAAGGACCAAAATATTCGAAAATTACTAATATTTAATTACATATATTCTATTAGTTTAACTCGTAGTGTGTTGTCTTAATATGTTGAAGGTTGCGGGTTTGGACATGATATATATATATATATATATATATATATATATATATATATATATATATATATATATATATATATATATATATATACCATCAAACAAAATGCTTAAAAGGGCCCCTACTTTACTTTCTACATAACCAGTTTGTCAAATTCCTTTTGTAGTGCCCCCGACGAAATACATTTCCACTTTACATGTACCAAAAACATGTTGATTTGACATAGATCGATAGCACCTTATATATACTTTGGTCGACTCTTCCAACTTCTTTATATTAGTCTTTTTGAGATCTTTTGAAAACTTTACTGGCCTCTTTTAACGTTTTATAATAGTTGCTTGCTCTTTTTAAATCTTTTTACAAACTTTAGAGGCCTCCTTTCATATTATGCCTACGATAATATAATTAAGTTACTTTAACATATACCAACAAGACCACGTGAAAGATATTCCATTATTTCCTCATGCATTTTGTATTTAACAAAAATGGCATGAAAGCAAAAGATAAATTGCATGACAACACAAGCTTTTTATGTATTTGAAGGCAATAATACCATTGTGAGGGAAGCGAATAATGGTATTTATTACTATATATATTCTTTTAAAATAATACAAACAGAAAGATATAGAAACCATGTGATCCTTGACATATATGTATTCAATGACAAAAGGTTGCAAAAAATATATAGAGACCATGCTACATATCGACTTTAAATAGATAATATTCATTTTAGATATCCGAACTCTAATTAGATAGGCCGTTTAATTTTCTAAAAAAGATTGATCTTACCGAGTATCATGAATACTGATCGTCATTATTATCGCACTCAAATTCTAGTAAGCGTAACAAGATAGATATAAGAAACAAATGAGACCGAATCACACGAAAACCAGCCAGTCGCGAATCTCACTCCATCACGGGTGGCTACCAAACAATTCTTTCTATAAAAAAGCCACCATTCCTTCACTCTCTGTCTTCCCCTCCAGAATAGTAGCAATATGGCTGCGAATCCTCATGTTCTCGCCATTGTCTTTATTCTTTCTGTTTTATCATCACAGTGGATGTATGCTGCGGCACAGAATTCACCTCTTTTTGCTTGCGACATCGATAAAGATCCAACCTTGAAGAAATTTTCGTTCTGTGATGCTTCATTGGATATAAAAACGAGGGTGAATGATCTTGTAAAGAGATTGACTTTGGAAGAGAAAATAGGAAACTTGGTTAACAACGCTACCAGTGTATATCGTCTCCGGATACCAGGCTACGGGTGGTGGTCCGAGGCTTTGCATGGTGTTTCTAAAACCGGACCCGCAACCTTCTTCTCTAGTTTGGTCCCCGGAGCCACCAGCTTCCCTCAAGTCATCCTCACCGCAGCCTCATTCAATGAAACTTTATTTAGAACCATTGGACAGGTAATCGATCTTTCTAATTCTACAAAGAAACTGTAAAAATTTTGTTATTTTAGTTATGATTCTTTGATTAGTAGGTGGTTTCTACTGAAGCACGAGCCATGTACAATATGGGTTTAGCGGGGTTAACATTTTGGTCACCGAATGTAAACATTTTTCGAGACCCTAGATGGGGAAGAGGGCAGGAAACTCCAGGAGAAGACCCGACTTTAACAAGCAAATACGCAGTGGCTTATGTTCAAGGTTTACAAGAAAGAGATGATGGCGATAAAAAACGACTCAAAGTTGGAGCTTGTTGTAAGCATTACACTGCATATGATGTTGATAATTGGAATGGCACCGATCGGTACCATTTCAATGCTGTGGTACATTTTAGTTTTTCAAAAACAAACTTGTTAATGTTTTAAATATGTATAGTTTTATATTTTTATATAAAGAATATTTAACATTTTGTTTGTTTTTGATCTTTAAGGTTACAAAGCAAGATATGGAGGATACATTTCAACCTCCATTTAAAAGTTGTGTCTTGGATGGAAATGTTGCAAGTGTTATGTGTTCTTACAACGAAGTTAACGGGAAGCCAACCTGCGGTGATCCTGATCTTTTAAAAGGGGTGATTCGGGGAAAATGGAAATTAAATGGGTAACTTTTAAATGCGAATCTTTTTATTTCTCTCTCATTAAGGCTCTTTTGGTTTACCTCACCTAGGGGCTCAACATATGTCTTGTCTAATATGACAATGTATATCTAATGGGTCATGTTCATGGACTGACCCAGAATTTCACTAGTGATCGACAGTGTTTTTAGACCAAATTTTGATTGAACATTCTTTTGAATTTTTTTTTAAATTATATTATTTTTAATTTTAACATGTAAAATTATAAGGTATTGTGACAAAAGAAATTCAAGAAGTGTCAAGGCTTGATGTATTAGAATTTCAAAGCAACACGAAATAAAAGACCAACAACATTAAGTCCCACATTGGTTGTTTGTGAAATACACGATGGTTGATGCCTTGTTGGGCTTTATAAAGCTTAGACAAGGCTTATGACTATCTTCAAAATTTGCAGCTTCTTTATTAACTTCTCAAAAATTGAGGGGTCAAACTACAAATTAATTAAGAACAATACAAATTTTCTAACTCCATTTCTATATGTTCAAGTCTTGATTTCTTTTAGAGTATACGGTGTGGGTCACAACGAGAAACGAATTGGCTGAGTTGGCACACTAAAACGACGTCATGACACGGGGAACACCGCCCCCCCCCCCCCCCCCCAACTCGTTGAAGCTCGTTATGGCACTTCTCGTGCTCGTTACCACATATTGAAACGGGAATAGTAACCAATCAAAATCATTTTCCTACCTCTTTCTCTCTTTCTCTCTCTACCTTTTTCTACCTCTTAACAAGTTATAACATTGAAACACTATTTCCTGCATGGTATTATGGTGGTGTTAAGGTTGATCTGGCATGTAAGATGGCGTTATAACACCGGCCCATACCCAATGCTCTTACTTTTTTACTTACTTTTATAAATGACAACAGTCACTTTACATACCTAACCATACAAAAGATGTTAAATTAATGTTTTGTAGATACGTAAGTTCTGACTGCGATTCATTAGACGTCATGCTTACATCACATCATTGGGAGAAAACACCAGAGGAAATCGCGGCAGATGCTTTAAACGCAGGTAACAAAATTTGTACACGTACATAAATAATTACACATTAAAAACATACCAAATATATCGAGTAACTTCACAGGGGTGGACCTAAACTGTGGCAATTCACTAAGACTCCACACAGAAGGTGCTATAAAAGCTGGACTAGTTAAAGAATCAGTAGTTGATAGAGCTGTTTCCAACAATTTTGAGACACTTATGAGACTCGGGGTTTTCGATGGTAACCCAAGTAAGCAAGTTTATGGGAGTCTAGGTCCCAAAGACGTGTGCACCCCGACTAACCAGGAGCTAGCTCGTGAAGCTGCTAGGCAAGGAATCATGTTGCTGAAAAACACGCCTGGATCATTGCCACTCATGCCAACATCCATCAAGTTTCTAGCTGTAATCGGACCCAATGCTACTGCCACAGAAACCATGATTGGTAACTATGCAGGTGTTCCATGCCAATATACAACTCCTCTAGAAGGGTTATCAGCATCAGTTAAAACCATATACGAACCAGGTTGTGTAAATGTGAACTGCTTCATTGTGCGAATCACAGAGGCCAAGAAAGTAGCAGCTGAAGCAGATGCGGTTGTTCTAGTAATGGGTTCGGATCTCTCTATAGAGGCTGAAACTATAGATAGAATCGATATAACCCTACCTGGTCAACAAAGCTTTCTTGTCTCAGAAGTTGCATCCGTGTCTAGAGGACCTATGATTCTTGTTATAATGTCGGGAGGAGGAATGGATATCCAGTTTGCAAAGGATAATCCAAATGTAACAAGCATTTTATGGGTCGGGTTTCCTGGTGAAGCTGGTGGAGCTGCTTTAGCTGACATTGTTTTCGGCCGATTTAATCCAAGTAAGATTTGTCATCTTTCACATATACCCCTTTTTGTTCGAAGTTTTAATGGTTTTGCATATATTTGAAGGTGGAAGACTACCCATGACATGGTATCCACAATCTTTTGTTGAGAAGGTGGCCATGACTAACATGAACATGAGACCGGATCTAACTACAGGTCACCCTGGTTACACCTACAGGTTCTACAAAGGAGAAACAGTTTATCCATTTGGACATGGGCTAAGCTATTCTTCACATGCTCACCATTTAGTTAAAGCACCGAAGTTCGTGTCAATCCCACTAGAAGAAGGTCACGTTTGTTGGTCATCTGAATGTAAATTGCTCGATGCATTGGAACATGTTTGTAGAAATTTAGTATTTGAAGTTAAGCTTAGGGTAATGAATGTGGGAAACATGGAGGGAAGTCATATAGTGTTCTTGTTCTCATCTCCTCCAACGATACATGATGCACCTCAAAAGAAGTTATTGGATTTTCGGAAGGTGGTCTTGGCTTCACGAGAACGGACAGTGGTTAGTTTCAAGGTTGATGTATGCAACCATCTAAGTGTGGTTGATGAAGATGGCAATAAGAAGGTTCCTTTGGGAATACATGTTCTTCATGTTGGAGATCTTCAACACTCTCTAAATATAAAGATTTGATGTGGGTGTTTTAGGTTTTATGATTTATGATATGGAACTAAAATTAAAGAGGATTTGAGAAAGAATTGTAATGATGGATTAAATTGAATTAATGCATTCAGATGCAAAATCGTTGTACTTGGTTAAACATTAAGGTATACCCCACTAAAATAGTAACCACCAAATGATGAGGAGGATAACTAACTTTCTACCATCCCACTCAAACAAAGCTCTATTGCACACATGATGCCCGATTCATATAACTTTACAACTCTATAGAGTTTTTTTTTTTTTTTTTTTTTTTTTTTTTTTTTTTTTTTTTTTACATTTTGTCTCAACAATGCTAGATGAGACGATTTTTAAGTAGCAATAAGGTTGGAGGACGTGGTGTGAAGTTTGTCACAGTCCACGTAGACATCACTTAGGATTTGTCACACTGTTTCAAAATTTTATAAGAGTAAATTACACGAATCGTCCCTGGTCCAAGTGCCAAATTGCACGTTCAATCCCTATTTTTGAAAATTAACTCAGACCGTTCCTCATGTATTTAAATACTACCCCGCCTAGTCCCTATTGTCGTTAGACGTTAGTTTTCTCCGTTTGGGTGCCCCACGTGCCTTGCACGCAGGGGTATTTTTGTCATTTCATCTTGTGTGCCCCTATTAGTGCCGTTGCCCCTCCCCTGCTTCAATTTATCTTCGTCGGTCTTCTTTCCCATTACTTTTCCCCTTTTTGTTCTTCGATTACCCTTCTCCAACCAACAAAAATGGCAATTCGATGCAATTATGGAGCTGAAGCTGTGATTCGTACCTCATGGAGCAAGAACAACCCTAGAAAACGTTACTATGCTTGTTCTAACCCGGTTAATTTCGATTTGTTGATAAATCTAACCTAATCTCCTAATTTCTCCTATTTTCTGTAAATTTTAGCATTGTTAAATGTTTCTACACTTATTTTGCAGGCTCGTGGTTGCAAGTTCATTGGTTGGGTGGTGGAGGATCATAAATGTGCTTGTATGAACATTAGGATGAAGCTTGAACAACAAAATCTGAAACTGAAGTTGTATCTAGCTATTATTTGGTTTCTGTTTGTGTCAATTCTAGTGTACAAAGTGTAGGATAAGTTATCAGATACGTTTACCTTTTAGTTGTACAAACTCAAGTTGGATGTATCAGTTTGCATGTTAATGAAAATTTGGTGTTTTTTTGGTAATTGCCAAACATGTATTCCATACCAAAGTATTCATACCAAAACAACAATTTATATCATACCATTAAGTCATCAAACCATTACAAACATGGATTCATACATTGACAACCTAATTAATCATTAAGTCATTCAAACCATTACAAACATTCATCAAGTCAACATAGTTTGAAGTACATCACCATCATAGTTAAAGAAGTAGCAGAACATTAGTTCACAACACCAAAAGACATGAAAGAACATTGTTTCAAGTACATCAAAAGCATTAGCCAACCAAAAGACAAGAAAGTAATATACAAACACTAAACCATCAGACTTTTTCCCTTGTTCACAGCACCAACATTCTGTCCCATATCACTACCACTGGCCTGTGATCCTCCCACTGTCTTCCCCTTGCAGCTCCTACCATTATGCCTAACATTTCCACACTTTGAACATCTAACTGTTCTGGTCCCTGTAGCACTATCATCTTCAGTAGCAGATCTTCTTATTTTCCTTTTTGGCCTACCAATAGGCAAATGATGTTTTGGTGGTAGTAACTTTGTTGGACAAGGACTTTTTGTGCACATCATCCTCCCATTAATTGGTTCAATTTTAAAGGCATACATCTCTTGCCATGTCTTCAACCAGTATGTTGGGTGAACCTATGTTTCACGTATCCCAACATTCTCATTATTTCTCCTCATATCCAATGAGTAATAGCAATTATAGCAACACAACCATTACAGTGAATACTTATATGAAAATGTTTACATCAGTTTGAAACTTTGTCTGATACTTGTTTGAATTACATCAACTAGCTTTGTAAAGTATAAACATAAAACTCTTATTGCTCCAGCTTCTCAAAAATCCAGCAAGTACCTGTCTACTGATTTCCTGAGAATACAAGCAGTTTGAAAATATCAGCATAAAGCTGGTGAGTTCATAAGCGGTGGTTTGTAATGAAAATCGTTGATGAGTTCGTGAAAGTGTTTTTGTATAGCTTCAAGAAAATCCGATATTTTCTTTAATGAAAATGTAGTGTTCTAAATTCTATATGAAATCGTGAATGTTTGTTACTGAAAACTGTAGTGATGCGCGAAAGTAATACTTCATGTGACTAGCAAATGCTAATCATGATGTATAAGTATTTCATACGTGAAACCATTGTATGTTCAGTTATGTTTGTAAACTCTGAAAGTTTTCCAGTCGTAGTGTGTATTAGTTCTATTTAGTATAAATAAAACTGTTGAAGAGTGTCAAGTTGTAAACTAAAGGTGATTTATACATAATGTGAGTCGTATAACCATGCTTGATATGACTAGAGACCTTTCCAACGTTCTTCAGGCGTCGAGTTAAATGACATTTGTACATCCTAGGCGTGCCCGCCTAACTGTAGCTAGCAGTTCAGATGTGGGATTGTCAGTCCCGAATAGATCTATTCACAAATCTCACGCTCTCCCTCCAGGAGACTCTGGTTATACTATGATAGGATTTATCCCTGTACACCTAAGGGTACAATATTGAAGTAGCGTCTCACAGTATCGTACAATCTTGTTTACATGTAGTGTAGTAGCGTTCTACCGTAGTGAAAATCTGTATGTATACCGTATGTAGTGATAATTACAGTTATGAAAACCATGATAAAGTAGTGATGTAACTGTAAACTATTTCTGTCTTAGTGCATATGTTTAGTAGTGAAAGTTTCTGTACTCGTTATGTTTAGAAAATCCCAAACTATACCGATTATAGTTTGCATGTATAGTGAATAGTGTGTCCGGAAAACTATGCAATTTTAGTGAAAACGTCCTTATGCTCAACACAGTACAAAAGGGTTAAAGTATGAGATTTGCATAAGTTTTGAAAACATTTATGTTTAGCTTGTATTCCCCCCCTGAAAACATTAAAAATACGGAAAATGTAGGGGTATGAACTCACAGTTGTTGCGTGAAAGCGTTGACTGAAATGAAGATCCTCGAGTTGTTGCACGTGACACTTAACGGAATCCTATTATCAAATAAATACAATATGTATCTAAATTAGCGATTTCGTTAGATAAAGTGTTAGAAGAACACTTGTGTTCGGTTGAGGAATGTTACCGGGACTTGATCGAATCGATGAAAGTGGGTTTTCAGCCAAAAGCACCACTTAAAAAGGTGTTTACGGCCGTGAACAAGGGTTACGTTCGACAGACAGTTTACGACCGTGAATAGGGTTTCGGCCGTGAACTGGGGGTTACGGTTTTTGAAGGCTTGTGAGTTTACGGTCGAAACTCAAGAACAGGGTTTACGGTCTTTGAAGGCTTGGACCGTAAACTCAAGAACAGGGTTTACGGTCTTTGAAGATGGACCGTAAACTCAAAACAATGGTGCTGATTTCGAAGAGATAAGTGCTCCAGACGTTCCGAAGTGACTCCAAACGGTGTTTCTCGATGTTTCCCGAAGTTTGAAGGTGTTTTTAGGTGTTTACGGTCAAGGTTTTTAGAGAGAGAAGGAGAGAGTTTTCGGCCAGAAGTGTTCAAATGAAGGTGGGGGTCTCATATTTATAGGGGTTTTGTGGTCGGTGGTGGGGGGTCCACCCTTTGCTGTCCGTAAACGGGTTTACGGCCGTAAACGAGTTTACGGTCGTAAACTCACTTAGGCCGGAATTGTTTGATTTTTTCGAGATATTCGGGTTTCCGCGCGATTTTTGGTTTTGACTCGTAAATAATTTAATTATATATAACTAGATTATTTTCTAAACCAAGAAGTTTGACGGAAAAGTTAATGAATTCGAAATTTTATTAACGGAAATCGCGTAACGGAAACGGACAAAATTTCGGGTTGTCACATCATCCCCCCGTTAGAGGGAATTTCGTCCCGAAATTCGAACATAGAATACAAATCATGGATTAGGAAAGAGATGCGGATACTTCTGTTTCATCTGATCTTCGCGCTCCCAAGTGAATTCAGGTCCCCGCTTGGCATTCCAGCGAACCTTCACTATCGGGATGCGACTTTGTTTCGTTCGTTTGATCTCTCTGTCCATGATTTCGACCGGTTCTTCCACGAAGTTGAGGTTCTCGTTGATTTCAATCTCGACGAGAGGAATCACAAGTGTCTCATCGGACAGACACTTCTTTAGGTTCGATACGTGGAAGACAGGATGGATGTTGCTGAGCTCCCGTGGTAACTGGAGTTTGTATGCTACGGGACCGATCCTAGCAAGGATCTCAAACGGTCCAATGTACCTTGGGTTTAGCTTTCCACGCTTCCCAAAGCGTATCATGCCTTTCCAGGGTGAGACCTTCAGAAGGACGCGGTCACCAACCTGGAACTCCAAGGGTTTTCGTCTCTTATCGGCGTAGCTCTTTTGTCTATCTCGTGAGGCTTTCAGTCGTTCCCGGATTTTATAATCTTTCAGTTGTCTCTCGGATGATCTCAGGACCAGTGAGAGTACTGTCGGGACTTGACCCCTGGCTAGCTGCGTGTCACCCACCTCAGCCCAGCACAGAGGGGATCTGCACTTACGGCCATAGAGGGCTTCAAACGGCGCAGCCTTGATGCTGATATGGTAGCTGTTGTTGTAGGAAAATTCAACCAAAGGAAGATGAGTGTCCCATGACGCGCCGAAGTCGATGACGCAGGCTCTCAACATATCTTCCAATGTCTGAATTGTTCTCTCACTCTGTCCATCAGTCTGCGGATGATAAGCCGTGCTCATATCCAATTTAGTTCCAAGAGCTTCTGTAGTGACTGCCAGAACCTCGATGTAAACCTGCTATCTCGATCGGAGATAATGGATGCAGGTACACCATGAAGGCGAACTATTTCTTGAAGGTAGATCCGTGTGAGTCTCTCCATCTTGAAGTTTCTTTGATTGGCAGGAAGTGGGCGGACTTCGTCAACCGATCGACAATTACCCAGATGGCATCG